TGCATAAACCACGGTCTGATAGGATTAGGACGGAAACCCGTCTGTCACGCCGAGTTATAGATCGCTGGAATTCGCTTCCAGATCATGTGGTTAGGGAACCTACGGTTAAGGGTTTTGCGCGCCAGCTCGATGCTCTTGGGTAGCAACAGCAAACTTTCCTTTTTCCTATCTGACTCACCTTCACTTCTCAGTTCTTTTTAGTGACTCAAATATCTTGGTATTCCATTTGCTTAGCTCTTTCCACTTTCTCTTTTGCTTTCTGAGTTTACTTTTTTCTCTTTCTTACTTCACGTAACCGGCCCAGCAGGAACTGCTAGGGCAGGATACGTGGGTATCAATTGGTTGGACAGGGTGTGATGCGGTCTTTGTTTTAGGTCCATCAGTATTTCAAAGTTCGCCAACTCCTGGTTCAACGACCCACCGAAGAAGGAACACTCACGTGATCATCTTATCGTTCCGGTCCCGCTTGAACTTGAACTTGAAGGTTTTCCTCTGTTAATTGTCTGTTATTATTCAAGCCGAGCTAAAGCGGAGTTTACGTGCCCCTAGCCTTTTCGTAATGTCCACCGTTCATATGAATGGTGGGGAAGATTTCTGAGGTAGACTGAAGTTCATGTATAAACACTATCCTTTCCTCGTAAAGAAGTAGTTACCTAGTAGGTATCACACCCGCTTTAAGCATTTCGCTCCAGATGTGATTTCCCCCTGGTCGTAATATTCATTTAGCGAAAGTGGACACGGTTTAAGTAACTCGAACTAGCCTAACTTCAGGGCGCTTTGCAAATTCTAACGTATTTCATATTGTAATCCAGTGGCTTAAGTGACATTCCACCAGGCTCTAATGGTGAACTAGTGACCATTTTAAACCCATCTTTGTGGTAACCTAGGCTTGTTAGCAGTATTAAAGCGTTAACCAAAATCGCGGGTAATTCAATTGAATACATGGCACTATTTTGCATCCTTCGACCTCCAATCTGGTTAAAATCAAGGAAGGAAACGTTAATAGGATAATCCTCTTTGTTTGTTTTTCTTCACATCTTGAAAGGATGCACTGAAAAACTAACGTCTTGCCGATGAGGTTCCCTATTACGTATCCTGCTTGAATAAAGCCTAAGTGATTCAACGTCGCCTACCTAAACCAATTTTATGTTTGTTAACGACTGGGTGTGTACTGGATACATTGTTTTATGCTTGCTATAGAGCAGACGATTACCAAGTGTTATTTCCAGGTGCGTAGCTAGTTATGAGTCTAATAGCATCAAGGTTGCTACGCTAACCTCATCTTACGACTACTGGAATGTGCGTCACTCCAAGCACCTCATGTGGTAGGTAAAAACGTGTTAGTTTGTCCTTCACCCTTGAGTACTAGGAACTATGTATTTGGGGCATCTGCGCGCTCCAGCCCACAACGAAACTTTTCAAGGCCCACGAAGGAAAAACCGCTTTGTGCACTCGTATTGCTTTTTGATGTCGCATCAGCTCTGCCCATTGGACCTATTCGTGAGTTTTTAAGGTTATGTAACTCTATGAATTTTGGTTTAAAGCAGGCAATCAGGAGATGGTTGTCAAGTAACTAATGTTATGCTCTCGCCTTAAACGTTCCAGCGTTATGTCACATCACGCACGACATTTGCCTCTCCTATCGTTAGTTTATTATCTGCCGAGCCTACTTGGTTGATAAATTAAAAATCGTTGTTAAACACTAACAGTTCACCATGGAATGAAAACGGTTGGGTTTGAGTTTGTCCATGTGAGTTTGGTTTTAGAAACACTATTCTTTGGCTATATTTCTTCGATAGAATTTATTGTCCTTTGGCACCGAGTGTGTGACGTCGCGCATAGATGCTTATTTTGGCTATTGACCAGGAGCTTACCGACATACTCTAGCTAGATCCTGGGTTACTTATTCCCGAAAGTACCGAGTGACTTGCTGACCTATTTTGATTACTACGTAACCCTTTCAGTTGCGCTGAAATGTTCTCCACAAAATTCTTCCTGTTAGAGAAATTCAAAAGCTAAACGTTACCGATGACTCTCAGCTGGTAACAACGGACTCCCTCACTTTTTCGCCCGATACGTCCCTTAATATGTTCGGGTGAATAGAATGAGACAAGTTTATGGTTCACTGAAGCAGACTTATGATATTCAACATTGCCGGGTGGAAGGTGGACGTTTTAATTTGTGTTTGCTGCTACTAGATGCTCTGCTATCTTTCGGCGCGTTACTAAGTTGGAAGTTACATTGACTCCGAACACATCTGCCATAGTATGAAATAATTTTCCCGCATGCTGCTTCCCGTGATAGAATAACAATAGAAGCACTAATTTTGGTGTCAGTGTCGATAGGTAAGCTTTTGCTAGCATCACAAGTTCTGTCGGCCCTGTTAAAGCGGTCATATAATTTGTACACTTTATAGCGATTGTTGACAACCAATCTTGCCATCGGACGTACACAGCCTCAAAAACGGCACGGTGGAGTACAACGAAAAGACCGGAGGAATTCGATTCTGTAACTACGACATAACTGTGGGCTCAAAGCGTCAAATCGAACTAAAATTTGAGGAAACGAGTGTAAGTTGTAGGAACGTTATTAGATATACGCTTTCCGAATGTTTTAATTTCATATCGAGCCGGTCCCTTTGTATAGCCACCTTTACGTCAAGTGAATTATGAAGCTGAACACATCAGCAAGTGACAAATCTTGTTTATTTCTATTGCTTCTAAACCTGATTCGTTTGTTGTGCTATTGTCCAGTTACGTACAACTGGTCCAGCCTTCGTGGATTACGTTTTGACATTCGATGGACCAAATTGTACGTCAGCAAGGATTGGAGCGGTAACCGAAAGAGATACTCCAACGTTCACTTGCAGCGGCAACCGGATGACAGCACTGTTTAACAGGGACTATACAGCCAGTATTTTTAAGGCTACGTATTCCGCAGGTAAGATAGATAAGGACGAAAAACCCTACCTATTATGGGGAACTGTGATTGCGCGATAAAGGTAATTTTAAATTACTGTACACAGTTGTCCCGATCTCTATGCTTATTCTGGTCCAGTTAAGTTGGTCAGCAAGTTAGGCAATCAGTTGTAAGACATATTCCGTTTATCAATTATCATGCTCCAAGCCCACTAAACAAGACACGTGCCAGTTGAAAGGTTGTTTTCCCTTGCTCAATACTTATTATCTCAATGAAGAATGAAACGCCGTAAGAGTAATCTAGTTTTGTATATCAAGACGTAAACGTTTGCTCGAGCATTTCCTGACTGTGCAGTTTTATTGTGAAGACTGTTTCCTATGTGACAACCTGACACTGAGGTAGCAACATGAAGTCTGTAAGGTATTTGCGTTACGTTGTTTGTATAATCAGAGAAAACAAGAAGTGCAGAGCCATGTTGAATTTGGTTCCCATCCATAAATTCTATTCGCGTTACATGCGTCGCACAGAATCTCGACATGACTCTTTTTCATGACGTCACCAGACTGGTCGACCTGCGGCCAACTTAATTCTATTGATTTCAACAAATCCTAGCTACTTGCAGAGATCGGTCCGTACAACTAGAACTAATGTGTTTGGGATCATATTATAGGTATGTAAAAGTGAAAGCTGCGTGAACTTAATAACTTAGCCTGGCATGGATTGTAGGCAGGCAGTAAGTACATCCTACTTCGAACATGTTCGCAATCGGAAGCCGGGGTACGAATGCATGTCATTATGATCACCGATGGGACTAGGTCATTAGATTCAATTGTGCATCATTTTTCAGGTACATGCCTACTATCGCACGATTTAACTTGGTCACGGATGTGGTAATGACGTAAGATGAAATCTTTTATGCGTCATACAAGAACAGATGCATCTGAGAAACATTCACCAAGGCCTATTTTTCTACATGTCATACGATGATAAAGGTAGCTGGCACACTCCTGCAAAGAAGCTACAAGCTTGTGTTGACACGAATCTTGCAAGTTCGCGCATAGTGGCCAACATATGCCTCATGAACTATGTGTCGGTTTCAGTAGATGTAGTAACTGGAATTATGCTCCCTTGTTATAACGCAAACATATAGTTTGCAGCTTGAACTACATTGGGAGAGTTAAGTTAGGTTGAGGACCCAGGCAACAAATAACTTTCAAATGATAGTTAAGTGTAAACCATGATTAGTGCATTACAGCGTACAATAGTCGATTTTAGTTAATCCAATATGGAATTTGATGAAATTATAGGCCACTGTAGCATTGGGGCCAAGCAAATTTCTTACACACTGCAAGTAAAACCATATTGGCAATGATATCACATTCATGAAAAACTGCAGTATAGTTTTGTCTGGTTCCATGGAATAGCCCGATACGTCAAAACATTTAATTGGCAACGATCTGTGAATACCTGTACTTATTTGGCTGGTTAAGTCTGTAGCACCTGAGGCTTATGTATGGTACTCGAAGCAGGAAGAAATGGATTCCCTGACTCACTAACTAGTCGAAGGACGTACGGTTTTGTTAAGCATCACTGTGCAATACCAAGAAATGTTTATCCCAAAATGAAAATTTAGTGGTAATGTTGTATGTAACACGACACATTCCATTATCCCTACCCGAATGGTAGGAATTTGCACTAATAAATCAAGTGAACATTCTAACTGTCTTCCCGGCGTTAGCATACTCGCACTTTCATTTCTCACTTCTTTCAATCGTCGTTTCTTTTCATATTTCAGTAAGCTAACGAAGTAAGTCATTCTGGTTTGTAAATCACCTGAACGAGCAGTGAAGAGTTAATTGACCAAGCTGTAAGTGTAGTCCCTATCCTAATATCCCATAAGCGTTTGAAAAATATACATCCAAACCAGCACTAACGGTTACTGTCCAAGTTGGTAAACATCACAACAATGTTAGAACTTACTTTGGGTCTAAGAATGTCTAGTCAAGGAACTACTTGTACGCGTAAATCGCCTCCTTATCTTGTGCTCACTCATGTTACTCTATTCAACTACGTCAAAACAGATGCGACGAAGCCAACACCACCACCTGGTAAGTGACTCCTATCATTTAAGCCCGATTGCCTAACCGTATTTCATACCAAGTTGCTGGAAGGTGAATGTTTGTATTAAATGGTTGTGAACAGGAAAGATGATCAAACAACTGTACGATGAGCATAGTTCTCTCTTCTGTGTCTTTAACCCTCCCAATCAGATGATAACAGGATACTTGGTGCGTTTGTTACGCTGTGGCTTCTAGCACAACCTAATCGCTTCGTCATATCTCAATGTATCGTGTTTCCAAGACACAATTTACTGGTATTCATTTGAAAAAGTTTTGAATTTATTGGATTTGTCTTTTCATGTATTTTGAACTGGGCGAACGCCGATCGTGATCTTTTAGTTATCGATCAAAGTTATGGCGTTTTCAAAAACGATAAACGAATGATGAGCACAGAAACTCAGTAATCTGGGGTTGCAAACATTGACCGCATGAAGACTTGAAACCGCATGGAACAGACATGTGCAACACATTTAACGTTAGCACGAAATAGGGTGAACCAGGAGTAACAATTCTTCATGACAAAGAAAGAATTGAAACATTTTTTTGTAACGATCAATGAATACATGTAATTATTTAGCGGTTTAAATGTTCAAAATTGAAAGCTTATGTGCGTTATTCAACTAGCACGTGCTATCAGCAGATTCGAGGTACATGACCGATGTTGACAAAACCTGTGCTGCTCTGGCGCAATAAAGCCGCAGCTTTCCAGTTAGCTTATCGGTGAGTCTGCGATGATCGCTTCTATGACTTCAACGAAGCTTTACCGGGTGGTAATTCGCAGTCTCAGAGCCACTTTCTTACTTGTGACAGGGTAGTATTATTCCTCTTCTGCTTTTATGAAAAGATGCTCTCGTTTAGATGAAGCTGTAGGAATCCGACAATCGGTTCAGCTAGGTGTATGGATGTTACCTGCAATTCTTACTGGTACGTGTTATCCGCACCAAGAGAGCTGTGTATACGCAAGGATAGTATTTGTTTAGCAACGTTTGTGCAATGAAATTGACGCCGGATAAAATCGAGATTGAGGTGAAAAAGTAAGACAAGCGTTTGATGCTTGTACCACTTGAAACATGGGTGAGTGCTGGGCCCGTAAGATGCTGGTCGCCTCCACCATTAGGAGTGTGGGGTGGGAATACGCGCTTCAATTTATGAAGTCTATGCACTTGTTCGTAAAAAATCTTTTAATTCAACCACAATCGTTTCGGTAACTCCTGCTGGTGTGTTAAGTTATCCTTACGAACGACTGCACGGAGCGGTTGCGGTGAATAACGTACTCAGTTCAATCATCTGAGCTGGGATTGTTTTGGTTATCGCTTCTGGTCCGATCCCCCAAGGCCATATATTTTGGTGTTCGTCTTCTCAAATGGGATTTTGTTTTGAGGGTTGACGGAAACTTTTGGCTCCAATGCTTTTGCGACTAGTGACGCGAACGATTTTAAGAATGTTTCCCGGACTGTTTCTGGAGTGCATTCAGTCATGAATACCCAACTAGATTTTTCCACGCATGCGAACTACACGTGGTAATATGTAACAAACCGTATCCTTTCAGGCTCAGATTCAGAGTATGCTGTGTAACAAATGTAAGCAAGCATGAGAGTTACTTGGTCGTTTCAAAACAAAAGACTGCACACATTTGGCCATTAGCCATGAGCTGCTGGGGAGCAATGGATCTAACGTTGTTCGCTTATTCACTTCACTGTACCTGGTGAGAGCCGTGACGTTGTTTTACAGGGATGTGCTGCGCTTGGCTCTTGCACATGGGTATTAGACTGTTCTATATCTTTTGCTGGAGTTTCCAGCTTTTGTATGTTAAAATCTCCTGTGATGCAGGTGCGGCTGCATTTCTGCTTTATCGGAATTCGAGATGCTGATACTACTTCGCGGTCTATTTCCGGAGTGGATTTGGGAGGTCTGTGAATTAGGACACAACACATGTCGGCGTCTTTCAACTACAGTTTTCACTAAAGTAGATCTGTGAAATGCGTTTGGGGATCATAGCTGAGTTCACAGCGGTTTATTTTGTAAAAGGTGCCCACTGCTCTCGCCTAGCTGTGCTGTCTTTGTTCCCTACAATTAACAAACGCAGAGTAGGGTTTAGACAAATGTGACAACTTCCGGAGTGGGCATCTGTATAGTAAAGGCAAGGTGTGTGCACACCGTAACGCTAAGGCGCTACCATGATCTCAAATGAACTGAAATAAGCCGCCTTTGTGGCGACGGAATAATCTGCAATATTTTAACCATTATTTCATGATCATGACGCTAAATAGTATATTGCACACCTGTATACACTGTAGGACTCATGATGTTTTACACAGGACCTCAGTGAATGTAACGGTGCAAGCACAGTTTGAACGCACTGAAAAGCTTACTTGTAAGTAATTAGATAGAAATGTTTGATAGTAAAACATGAACATATATGAAACTAGTCCAATCACAAAGTTGTTTCGAATTCTGCTGTAGACGAGTAACA